ATAATTATTGTAAAATTGACTGTGTCCATAAAATGTAGATAGTAAGTATAAGCTGGAAGTAGAGGCCTAAGCATTTTTGTTCACTAATTTACCCCAAGTAGGGAAAGGATGGCGGGGTTGAAAAGTAATAAAGGGGAGTATATACATAAAAAACATGGGGGATTGGAAGTGATGCAGACAATTACATTGATGGAAGTTAGAATCTATCTGCAATATTAAGCTGATCTACTCCCCCCCCCTCAGATCAACGATCGCAGACATGGGGAGTACTTGCGTGACACAGTAGAAAAGCGTCTTCCACCAGAAACTAAAATCCCATCAATACAGTGGCTAAGACTGAAGTTTACACCCAAGAATCCATGGTCCATGTCTGCTCTCCAGTACACAGGAATGTTTGACCTCAAGTTCATGGTCCAGTCTCGGGTGATAAGAAAGGGACATCAAGATTCAAAGTTTGTTGCAGTACAGTGGAACTACATTAAACAGTTTGCCTGCGTGTGGCAGAAGGACTGTGGAATGTTATGTGTGGATGATAAGTCAATCATCCCTGTCGGAGAACCTGGCCAGCCTATAGGGACTGTAACAGAGGCAGACATCCAAGCATTGCTCCTGTGAGTGGGCCAGTTCTAGCAGCTGCCGACCATTATTACCACAACAGTGGACTTGTACCATCTGTCATGTTGATCCCAGACATCCCAACATCTCCATCTAGTTCATTCTATGATGGGAAAGTTAATGTCACTGTCAACGACAAGGTTTTCAAGCCATCCAGCCCCCTTAAACACTCAGTTGAAAATCTCAGCATCCTCAGAGGAGAGAACTACAGTGAAGATGATGTCTCTCTCAACAAGTCAATCTTTATCATTCAATCAACAACAGAACCACATATGCCTCTGTTAAAGCATGCCACACACTCCTGTTTGTTCAACTGGATCTTGACATGCTTATCGCCTGTAGAACAGCACCAGGTGACAGCTGGGTCAACCCTTCCGAGAGAGTTAATTCCCTTCTGAACTTGGGGCTTCAGGGAATAGCCCTGGCTAGAGAGAAGATGGAAGAATCAAATGAGAAGCGTGTGAAAAAGTGTAGCACAATGACAAGCCTACGTGAAACAGCCACCAAACAACCAGACCTGAAAGAGGCTTTTGAAAAGAGTATGCATCCTGTTGCAGCTCTTGTGAGTGGCCGTTTTGAGCAGCTGAAGTGGAAAGGAACACACGTAGAACTACATCAGCCCGCAACACAGGAAGAACTTGCAAATATTGCACAACAATTTAACATCATTGATACAGAAGTTGACTTGATGCATGACCTCAGCAGAAAAGGCCTTGACAAGGAACAGTACAAGTAATTCCAGGACAGACATTTCAAGATGTCACAATACATGGTACAGATCACGATATGCGAGGGAGAAGATCCATGCTGGTACTGCTTAATGAATCCTGCACCCTTGCCAGAAGAACAATTTAAGAAATTATGGTTTGTGCCTGATCCAACATTGACAGCAGACAGACGTGAGTACCAGAAATGTGATGATCTGTACAGCTTGGACACCACTGACAAGGATAGGCCTTCTCTGACACCAAATATAGAAAATGTAAAGAGTAGTGATGCCATGGTCAGTGCAAAGGTGAGAGCGACCATCAACTGCATTGAATGTGAGAAACCAAGGTACTTGTATGCCAAAAGCAAGCTGTCTAAAGAAGTAGACTATCCATATCACGAGCAGATAGTTGCTTTCAAGCGGCTAACCTGTGGAATGCAAGTGGAGACACAGAATTACTCAGCAATCACAGTGTCATTCCCAGATGTATGTGTCCATTGTGGATGTTCAGATGTTCTTGAGGCGGAAGAGGTGGTGAGGCTCAAACAACAATTCCAACAACAATTCCAACATGTCAGGCCAATGTTCCCAGTGTGTAAGCAAGAAGGAAAGCAGTTCATTACGAGAGCTCCAACTAATCTTAAAAAGAAATGAACAACATGGAGACCGGAATAAACAACAAATAAAGGACAAAACAGACCGTGCTGTTGAAAAGTAAAAAGCAGCACTCCTCTCCTCTTTTGACCTCACCCTCTCACCGTCCCCCCCTACTCACAAGGCAGGCAATACGCTTGACCTCATCTTTACTAGATGCTGCTCTTCTACTAATCTCACTGCAACTCCCCTCCATGTCTCCGACCACTTTGTTTCCTTTTCTCTCTCGCTCTCCTCCAACACTACTCACTCTGCCCCTACACAGATGGTAATGCGCCGCCGCAACCTTCGCTCTCTCTCTCCCACTACTCTCTCCTCTTCCATCCTATCATCTCTTCCCTCTGCTCAATCCTTCTCCCTCCAATCTCCTGATTCTGCCTCCTCAACCCTCCTCTCCTCCCTTTCTGCATCCTTTGACTCTCTGTGTCCCCTATCCTCCCGGCCGGCTCGGTCCTCCCCTCCAGCTCCGTGGCTTGATGACTCATTGCGAGCTCACAGAACAGAGCTCCTGGCAGCGGAGCGGAAATGGAAGAAAACTAAACTCCCTGCCGACCTGGCATCTTTTCACTCCCTCCTCTCTACATTTTCTTCATCTGTTTCTGCTGCTAAGGCCACTTTCTACCACTCTAAATTCCAAGCATCTGCCTCTAACCCTAGGAAGCTCTTTGCCACATTTTCCTCCCTCCTGAATTCCCCCCCCCCCCCCCCCCCCCTCCTCTCTCTCTGTGGATGACTTCGTCAACCACTTTGAAAAGAAGGTTGACGACATTCGATCCTCGTTTGTTAAGTCTAATGACACTGCTGGTCCTACTCACACTGCCCTACCCTATGCTTTGACTTCTTTCTCCCCTCTCTCTCCAGATAAAATCCTGCGACTTGTGACTGCAGGCCGCCCAACAACCTGCCCGCTTGACCCCATCCCCTCCTCTCTTCTCCAGACCATCTCCGGTGACCTTCTCCCCTACCTCACCTCGCTGATCAACTCATCCTTGACCGCTGGCCATGTCCCTTCCGTCTTCAAGAGAGCGAGAGTTGCTCCCCTTCTCAAAAAACCAACACTCGATCCCACCGATGTCAACAACTACAGACCAGTATCCCTTCTTTCTTTTCTTTCCAAAACTATTCAGCGTGCCGTCTTTAGCCAACTCTCTTGCTATCTCTCTCAGAATGACCTTATTGATCCAAACCAGTCAGGTTTCAGGACTGGTCATTCAACTGAGACTGCTCTTCTCTGTGTCACAGAGGCTCTCCGCACTGCTAAAGCTAACTCTCTCTCCTCTGCTCTTGTCCTTCTAGACCTGTCTGCTGCCTTTGATACTGTGAACCATCAGATCCTCCTCTCCACCCTCTCCGAGCTGGGCATCTCCGGCGCGGCTCACTCCTGGATTGCGTCCTACCTGACCGGTCGCTCCTACCAAGTGGCGTGGCGAGAAGCTGTCTCCGCACCACGTGCTCTCACCACTGGTGTCCCCCAGGGCTCAGTTCTAGGCCCTCTCCTTTTCTCCCTATACACCAAGTCACTTGGCTCTGTCATATCCTCACATGGCCTCTCCTATCATTGCTACGCTGACGATACACAACTAATCTTCTCCTTTCCCCCTTCTGATAACCAGGTGGCGAATCGCATCTCTGCATGTCTGGCAGACATATCAGTATGGATGACGGATCACCACCTCAAGCTGAACCCTGGCAAGACGGAGCAGCTCTTCCTCCCGGGGAAGGACTGCCCGTTCCATGATCTCGCCATCACGGTTGACAACTCCGTTGTGTCCTCCTCCCAGAGTGCGAAGAGCCTTGGCGTGACCCTGGACAACACCCTGTCGTTCTCCGCTAACATCAAGGCGGTGACCCGCTCCTGCAGGTTCATGCTCTACAACATTCGGAGAGTACGACCCTGCCTTACACAGGAAGCGGCACAGGTCCTAATCCAGGCACTTGTCATCTCCCGTCTGGATTACTGCAACTCGCTGTTGGCTGGCCTCCCTGCCTGTGCCATTAAACCCCTACAACTCATCCAGAACGCCGCAGCCCGTCTGGTGTTCAACCTTCCCAAGTTCTCTCACGTCACCCCCCTTCTCCGCACACTCCACTGGCTTCCAGTTGAAGCTCGCATCCGTTACAAGAACATGGTGCTTGCCAATGGAGCAGTGAGGGGAACGGCACCTCTGTACCTTCGGGCTCTGATCAGTCCCTACACCCAAACGAGGGCATTGCGTTCATCCACCTCTGGCTCCCCTTCCTCTGCGGAAGCATAGTTCCCGCTCAGCCCAGTCAAAACTGTTCGCTGCTCTGGCACCCCAATGGTGGAACAAGCTCCCTCACGACGCCAGGACAGCGGAGTCACTCACCACCTTCCGGAGACATTTGAAACCCCACCTCTTTAAGGAATACCTGGGATAGGATAAAGTAATCCTTCTACCCCCCCAAAAAAAATTGTAAAGTGGTTATCCCACTGGCTATAGGGTGAATGCACCAATTTGCGAGTCGCTCTGGTTAAGAGCGTCTGCTAAATGACGTAAATGTGCCCTTGAGCAAGGCACTTAACCCTAATTGCTCCTGTAAGTCGCTCTGGATAAGAGCGTCTGCTAAATGACTAAAATGTAAATGTAAATGTAAATGTAATGTAAATGTAATTGTGCTATTGCCTCTGAGCACAGAACATTGGCCGTCATTTTCATTTCCAGATGATTCTACATATTGAATCGCCATTGTTTGTTAACACCCAGAAAATCTGTTAAACAGTGAATCAATTTTGTCTGGCCTCACTGTAAAATAAAATTCACAGATGAAAGGAAGAAATTCTATCCATATAATAACGGTGAGAAGAGCAACATCTTGCTAGACCTTTGAGAAACAGACAGATAGACAGACAGACATCACTGAGAGACCTGACTGACTAGCTACTTCCTGAACAATAACATCCCATAAGCTACATGTGGATCTTTGATTATACTGCGCCTCCTCAGGACACCAACTTGAAATCTTTTCTGTTATGGCTCTCTTTCTACAATATATGTTGTCAGGTTTTGTACAGTGTTTCTGGGTTTCCTGTCACTGTGGGCCTCAGAGCACAGTAGTACCGAGCAGAGTCTGTCACTTCAGCAGAGGAGATCTCCAGATCCACAGGTTTGGCCTTTTTGTCATGATTTAGAGTGAACCCTGGTGTAATATCCACATACTCCTTAACCAGTAACTGTGGTGCTGATTTGGGATACTGTCGATACTATTGAAGATTGTCACCAGCGGTGTAGTTACAAGAGAGAGTAACTCTGTCCCCGTCCAAAGCCAGCACTGCATCAGTATAGGGTGTAATTACCTCTTCAGAATTTAAACCTGTAAAACATAATACCGTAAATCCACATGGAAGATTGATAATATTTCCTTGGATAATGTTTTATATATATATATATGAAATAGAAAATAAAAAAACATCTTCATACAACAAATGCTGTCTCTTACCTTTAATTGTTGTGAACAGTAACATTGAAAAAAGTAACATAATGGTCTTTGTAAAAGAGACAAACTGACAGTAAAGGCAGCAAATCAGACTGGTCCCTGTTCTTTCCACATACTGTGTGTTTGAAGAGTCTTCTACTGTTGTTGCTGTTGCTTTGGTTGTTGCTGCTCCTCCTCCTCCTAAGATTGATTTCATTCATGTAGGTAGAATCATGTCTTACCACAAGGATTCATAATCTAATCCTTTGCTTTTGCTCCTCCTACTGACAATATTAAAACAATGACATTTTATATGTACATTTGAAAGCAGTTACTACAAATGATTTATGCACTACAGATTCCACTTGATGGCGATGCTGTCAAACAGTAGACAGCAGGTGCTTGTAAAACCACAAACAGACAAGTCTGTATTCTGCTGAGTGCTGAGTCAGTGAGTTATGTGGACGTCACAGCACAGCAGTACAGGAACGAGTGTTTGTACAGTGTTTCCCTGTCACTGTTGGCTCCACAGCACAATGACATTGAAAAAAGCAAAATTGCATAAAGACATCATTATGAGGACTGAATGACTGGCTTTACACACTTTCAAGTAAGAGAATATCACTATCCTGTCCTCAAACATCTTATAGACTACATACTGTAATGTCAAAGCACTCATTTACTTTGTAGTTCTACTGCCCTACACTAAAGGTGGTTGGGTATTTGAGTTCAACTGTCTTTCAAGTTTGAATTGCTGCTAAATGTCATCTTCATGATTTTGCTATAGTTCTGAATAGAGATAATTCAGCTCATGACTGCCCTCTATTGGTATTGTCTCAAAATGTATGCTGATCTCAAAAAACAAAGGTCAAAAATAAGACAATTACTGCCCTTAATCCTCTAAGGAAGCAAAACAACACAACAAATGTTATTAATTCTGTATTTATTCAGACTAGTATCTCTGATCATGTTATATCAAAACATGAACATGAATATAATATGAAGTATTATTTCCTGAGTTACTTGTTTTATCATGAGTGTAGTCTACATTTTGGACGTTGTAGATTCATATAGATGATTAGAGATATGGTCAACACTACTTTCTCTGGCACCTTTATGCAGTAGTTACTGAGGTGCCTGGTTAGGGTATTGTTGGTACCAGTAAAGGTAGATGTTAGTGCTGCTTGTTTCATATGTACAGCTCAGAGACACTGATGATCCCTCAGTGGGGTGTACTCCTCCTTGTCAGGAGTCACATTATCACCAGATACCATTCATGTAGAAGAAAAATAGATATTGAAGCTGATTGAAAACACATTCTTATTTTTCACATTTCAATTACTTTACTTCATCAAAATATGTTTTACTAGCAATACCATAATAGAAAAAATTGATTATAAGGAGGCAAGGATTTCAAATATTTAGGTATTGTTTACTTGTAGTCATAATCAGAATGATCAATACACTGATTGATTTCTCCATCTTCACACTGATGTTTGCATCCATTCACTCTCCTCTTAAATGTTATTTTGTGTCTCACTGTGTGTGGTCTACAGCCCTGCTAACATCACACCCACCACAGAAGTAAGGCTTGCATTTTTTATACACTAGTGCCAAGGATACACTAGTTTTTGTAGGGGGGATGTATATCCTGTTGTCACAGTGGGCCTCAAAGCACAGTAGTACACAGCAGAGTCAGACAGCTGCAACCTCTGGATCGTCAAGGGGACTGATTTTGATGCTGATAAAATTTTTGTTAAATTGAGATGGGCATTGAACCTCCCCTGGAATTCAATGGCATTATCTGATCCAAAAGTTGTCCTCCTCAGCATATACTTTGGGAAGTCATTAGCTCCCTGCTTGTACCAGAACAGGAATGGATCTGTATCTAGAGTATCAAATTGACAGTCCAGTGTGACCTGTTCTCCCTCAGTAGCGATCACATCTCCTGGTGACTGAGTGACTGAGTCTTCTCCTCTGCATTCTGGAAAATAATTTAATAAACATAACCATGCAACATGATTGAGGGAATAAAAACATAGGAATTTAATACTAATAGTATTGTACTGAGAAATATGTTTTATAAAAGAAAGGAATTGGAGCAAAGGCAGAAAACAAATAAGGAAAATTATATTATCATACCATAACAAAGTACAGCAAGAACCAGTAAATTCCTCAGCCAGGGTTCCATACCTGCTACTGTGAGATCAGTGGGAGAAGAGTAATACCACTCTGATGTAACTAGACCATGATGAGACTATGAACTCCTTGTCTCCTCCTCTTTCTGTGTATCGTCAAACATTGAGAAGCTTGTGACATTGTCTGAACAACACTCCACCCTGAGTTTTTGTACAGTGACTGAATCATCTGTTGTCACAGTGGACCTCAGAGCACAGAAGTACGAAGCAGAGTCAGACGGCTGCAACGTCTGGATCATCAAGGGGACAAAGCTAGATGTGAAATTCAGTTTGGAATCAAACCTCTTCTTGAACTCATCACTATTGCTCCCTTCTGAATAACGATCTCTTCTCAGGACATACTGAGGAGAGTCCCTAGTTAACTGGATGTACCAGAAGAGATCAGGAGATGTACTACTGGTAGTGTAATTACAGCTGAATGTTACCAGTCCTCCTTCAAGGGCAGTAACATGTCCACTCTGCTGGTCAACAGCCTCTTCACCTCTGCAATCTGAAAAAGCAGTTATATATATATATATATATATATATATATATATATATATATATATATATATATATATATATATTTGTATATATTAATAATTAATAGGCTAAGATTCAGACAAAGAGAACAGGAAGGAAAAGCACTATACTGTACCAAAATAGCATGCAGCCAGGATAAGTAAAGCATTCCTAAGCCAATGTGCCATTATGATTCATGTATAGAGGAAGAATAGACTGTAATAGACTTTATGTTCCATCCACTGTAGCTGAGAAGTCTCATAATTCTGGGGCTCTGCAGTAGGGGAGGAGCTAATTGTATATTCAATTTAGTTGAACTGCTAGAAGGATTCCCTGTGAAATGCTGCCCTTCTCAGGTTGATTTAGTTTGATATGCTAATTGTGTGGGAAATTATACCACAACGACACCTGTAAAGTGTTTGCATGCCACATGCATAATTTAATTCTCTAGAGTCTAAGAGGTTGGGGGCGGGTGTTATAAATTGACATATAATTATTTGAAGATGGTCATACCTTGGATCAGTTAGCTATTTGATTTGGAAGTTTAGGACCCCTTTAGGTATAAAAAAAAATATATCAAAAGTATTTGATAAAATATTGAATTTGGCCTTTACTACCAAATTCCATAGAAACACAATGAATGACACATTCATAAATGGCAAAAAATGACATTCAAAAAATAAATAATACGGAATAAGGTTTTAAGGTTTTAAGTGTCTGTCCTATAAATAGGAGATATAAGAAAGCTCAGGAAATATATATTTACATTGTATATATTTTTTTGACACATATTTAACCCTTTAAATTCTCCAACGTGTTCGTGAGAATCTCCCCTTTTCACAGTGGGGTCATTAGTTTGTTAGCCCAAACAGTTCGTACGCTACATACGTATTCGTGAGAGTTTCATCTTTCAATAGAGTGGTCATATTATTTTTCTACGCCAAACCGTTCGGGACGCTACAGACGTTTTTGTGAGAAGACTGATTCTTGGGATGTCACATGGTTTCCACCGCAAATGCGGAAGACCGGCATAGGCTGATGCGGTGGATTGAGATGCAGCCCATGCAAATTATATTTCAAGCTTAAAGGAATAGAAGCAAACTGATAAGACTCCACTGACACCTATTGACTCTCACTAGTAACTTGCCCTTCAAAATAAAAGCAATGTCAAGGTTTCACCTTGTTGGGCAGAATGTTGAACACTAGATGGAACTATTATATCATTATTATACATAGAAAAACCTTGTCACTGGACTTCATAACTGTGGAGGGCAGTCTACAGGAGGAGTACAGACAAAGAAGATCTGTCACATAACTGATCAGGAGGCAGAGAGAACATCTCAGTTATTGTGGCTGAAGAGTGAGAAGCAGTGGACGAGCCACGTGGCTCACTTGGGCCTGATCAACCCATCCTTCAGAAGGTGTAGTGGGCAGCACATGTAGGATAAGAAGGTACCTCACCTGAAGATCATCCAGGAGCTGCAGAAACGGCTGTTTGTGGGTATATATAAAGACAACCCTTTATACTCTACTAACACTTTGCTGACCGCATTTAAATGTTGAGGAGGTTCTGAGAATAAAGACACTAAATCCTCACATGAATAATGAATGATCATAAATGTGCAAAATGTAACTACTTTTCCTATCTAGTGACCCAGACCAAAAGAGCCGTTTTAAATTTGTCTGGTCCATTACCAGTCAGTTGGCTTCAGCTATGCTTCTCTAAAGAGTGCAGTACCTGGATTTACCACAAGAGGACCAAACCACTGAGCAGGTCCACGTTGAGAGGAATGATGTGATATAAACCATGCATGTTGTATGTATATGATGTGGTTAAGAGGCCTGACTGTAGCAGAATACAAATACACATCAAATTGACATAATCTATCAATGTTCAAATCAAATTAAGGACAGGTGAAACATTCCATTCATATACTTTATTTATAGGAGACATTAACGTCATTCATTAGTGTTTTGATGTCTACATCAAATTAACCAGATAAATTCCTGCTGATGTGGTCCCTGCTGAGTTTTTTTTTTTACAGTGTGTGCAGGTTTCCTGTCACTGTGGGCCTCACAGCAATGTAGTACAGAGCAGAGTCTGTCACTTAAGCAGAGGAGATCTCCAGATCCAAGTGTTTTTTCTCTTCATTGAGTTTCACAAATATTTGAGTGGTCAAAGGATCAGCTTTCTTTATAAACTCTGAACCTGAGATGTACAATAGGAACTTTGGCCTTTGTGCTGTGTCTTGGTGATAACAATAGAATTCTAGTCCCCTGTAGCTCAGTTGGTAGAGCATGGCGCTTGCAACGCTAGGGTTGTGGGTTTGTTTCCCACGGGGGGCCAGTATGAAAATGTATGCACTCACTAACTGTAAGTCGCTCTGGATAAGAGCGTCTGCTATATGACTAAAATGTAAATGTAAATTCATCTCCACTAGTAGTTGTAAGACAGGGTAACAGGGGTTCCCTCTAAACAGAACTCTTTCTTGAGTGGAGTGAGGTCCTCACAACTGACACCTGCATAGAGAATGGTTTTAAAACACATACATTTAATTGTTCATGAAAATGTATTTGAAATTGAATTCATTTCAAATGGACAATTATGGCAATGCATTGTATTGAATTTAATTGTACTGTATTGTAGTGTATTGCCTATGCAATAAATATGGCCAGGAACAACACTGAAACAGCAACACCATCTTAGATGAACAAAGACAAACTGAAAGTAAGATCTAAGCACACTGAAAGTTTCCTCCTGTTTTTATGTTTCTATACTGCTGGTCAGCCCCTCCTCTGCCATAAGTCCCTCCCATTAAAATACAGTAGGTATGTTACTTATGTACTGTATGTCATACAAGATGTCTGTTTCCTGTCACTGTGGTCTTCATGGCACAGTAGTACAGAGCAGAGTCTGTCACTTCAGCAGAGGAGATCTAGATCCACACGGGTCGGTATGAACCTGAGTTGACATGGGAGAAGGGACAGTTTTCTGGACATATCCTGATTTGGTGTTGAGATTCAGGTACTCTGGTTTAGTCCTGGGATACTGATGATACCACTGTAGATTGTCAACAGAGCCAGTGTAGCTGCAGGATAGTGTGGTGGTATCACCCTCCACACCACCTACCATAGACCTAGTGGGATTAATGTCATCTTCAAAACTACCAGCTATTTTTTCCACTATCAAATATATTCTGGAGTTGGAATTAAAACTGTCAAATTGAATACAGCACTCACCAACATGGACTGAGAGAAGGAGAAATGATGAAAGCAGCAACATAGCTGATAGAGACATTATCAAAAACACTCTGACACAGAACAGGCAGAGTTGAATATCTCTCTGCAGCAATCTTTCAGTCTTGCTGATTGGCGAAAATGTTGCGGCTCCACCTACTGCCAAAGACAGGGGGTGGTGAACAACCAACTTTGTTTCTGTGTGTGCCATGAAATCCTTGTTAAATGTGCATCGTAGGATTGATGCATTCATTTATTTTTAACACCACTCCATTCATGTTATACTGCATTAAGAAGAAAAAAGTTTGAAATGAATATATGATCTGGACATGAAGCTAGGGTTAGGGTTATTGTTAGGGTTGATCTGGGTAGGGAATATGAAGCTAGAGTTAGGGCAGTGGCGACCTGCCATCGAGGGCATTTTTTTTGGGGGGGGTGCCTGTTTTGCATGTTATTTTGGCATTAATACGTGTCAAAAACACTGTAAAAAATGTATTGAGTAAGGAAGCTCCAAAATGCAGGTGTTTCAGGCTAGCTCAGTGCTTTCTGTGGTGGAGGGGCAGCCAGCGGAGCGTAGGGGTTGGTAATGTTCTCTAGTTGCGCCGTGATTGGCTCAGTGTTCTGTCTCTCATTGGGACACTACGTCACCGCAAAATCTACAGGGAGAGCTAAAAAGTTCAAGCCCTTTGGGTGCTGCCATAGATTTATATTAGAAGTGCCCATCCAAGAAGGCTCAAGGTCATTAGCCACAGATCAAATGACGTCAAATCACGTTATACCTACTGTAGCTTTGATTGGACTGATCATAGCTAGCAAACCAGACAAGCAGTTATCATCATGAATCATGTCAACACACAACTTTTCTTGCCTGACAGACTAACTAGTTAGCTAGCTAGCTATAGCAAGCAGCTTGGGCTGTTTCCATATGAATTACATCGGTAGAAACAAGACAAAACACTCAACTAGTCAGCTGACTATATATAGCTAAACACTGCAACTATTTCCATGAGACATCACCACCTCAAGCTGAACCTCGGCAAGACGGAGCTGCTCTTCCTCCCAGGGAAGGACTGCCCGCTCCATGATCTTGCCATCACGGTTGACAACTCCATTGTGTCCTCCTCACAGAGTGCAAAGAACCTTGGCGTGACCCTGGACAACACCCTGTCGTTCTCTGCTAACATCAAAGCAGTGACCCGATCCTGTAGGTTCATGCTCTACAACATTTGCAGAGTACCTTACACAGGAAGCGGCACAGGTCCTAATCCAGGCACTTGTCATCTCCCATCTGGATTACTGCAACTCGCTGTTGGCTGGACTCCCTGCCTGTGCAATTAAACCCCTACAACTCATCCAGAACGCTGCAGCCCGTCTGGTGTTCAACCTTCCCAAGTTCTCTCACGCCACTGGCTTCCAGTTGAAGCTCGCATCTGCTACAAGACCATGGTGTTTGCCTATGGAGCTGTGAGGTGAATGGCACCTCCTTACCTTCAGGCTCTGATCAGTCCCTACACCCAAACAAGGACATTGCGTTCTTCCACCTCTGGCCTACTGGTCCCCCTACCTCTGCGGAAGCACAGTTCCCGCTCAGCCCAGTCAAAACTGTTCGCTGCTCTGGCACACCAATGGTGGAACAAGCTCCCTCATGACGCCAGGACAGTGGAGTCACTGACCACCTTCCGGAGACACTTGAAACCCTACCTCTTTAAGGAATACCTGGGATAGTATAAAAGTAATCCTTCTACCCCCCCCCACCCCGACAAAATATATAAAATAATAATAATAATAATAATAATAATAATAATAATAATAATAATAAGAATACTAATAATACTTATAATAATAAAAATAATACTAATAATACTAATAATAATAATAATAATAATAATAATAATAATAATGATAATAATAATAATTACAAAAAAATGAAAAATACCAACAAAAATAAAAATATATATATATATACACTGCTCAAAAAAATTAAGGGAACACTTAAACAACACAATGTAACTCCAAGTCAATCACACTTCTGTGAAATCAAACAGTCCACTTAGGAAGCAATTTCACATGCTGTTGTGCAAATGGATAGACAACAGGTGGAAATTATAGGCAATTAGCAAGACACCCCCAATAAAGGACTGGTTTTGCAGGTGGTGACCACAGACCACTTCTCAGTTCCTATGCTTCCTGGCTGATGTTTTGGTCACTTTTGAATGCTGGCGGTGCTTTCACTCTAGTGGTAGCATGAGACGGAGTCTACAACCCACACAAGTGGCTCAGACAGTGCAGCTCATCCAGGATGGCACATCAATGCGAGCTGTGGCAAGAAGGTTTGCTGTGTCTGTCAGCGTAGTGTCCAGAGCATGGAGGCGCTAACAGGATACAGGCCAGTACATCAGGACAGATCCTCAGACCCCTTGTGAGACCATATGCTGGTGCGGTTGGCCCTGGGTTCCTCCTAATGTAAGACAATGCTAGACCTCATGTGGCTGGAGTGTGTCAGCAGTTCCTGCAAGAGGAAGGCATTGATGCTATGGACTGGCCCGCCCGTTCCCCAGACCTGAATCCAATTGAGCACATCTGGGACATCATGTCTCGCTCCATCCATCAACGCCACGTTGCACCACAGACTGTCCAGGAGTTTGCGGATGCTTTAGTCCAGGTCTGGGAGGAGATCCCTCAGGAGACCATCCGCCACCTCATCAGGAGCATGCCCAGGCGTTGTAGGGAGGTCATACAGGCACGTGGAGGCCACACACACTACTGAGCCTCATTTTGACTTGTTTTAAGGACATTACATCAAAGTTGGATCAGCCTGTAGTGTGGTTTTCCACTTTAATTTTGAGGGTGACTCCAAATCCAGACCTCCATGGGTTGATACATTTGATTTCCATTGATAGTTTTTGTGTGATTTTGTTGTCAGCACATTCAACTATGTAAAGAAAAAAGTATTTAATAAGATTATTTCATTCATTCAGATCTAGGATGTGTTATTTTAGTGTTCCCTTTATTTTTATGAGCAGTGTATAGTAAAATAAAAAAATAAAAAACAACAACAATATTAAATAAAAATAAAAGAGAAAAATATAATAATTATTTAAAAAATAATAATAAATGTAAAGTGGTTGTCCCACTGGCTATCATAAGGTGAATGCACCAATTTGTAAGTCGTTCTGGATAAGAGCGTCTGCTAAATGACGTAAATGTAATGTAAATGAAACAGAGCGCAATCATTTGAGCTCCACCGCTGATGTGCTAGCCGGTACCAACCAAGTTATCATGACATGACAACACTTGCTAATCTGTGAGCTATTCCCTAACTTTCACAGCATCAAACATCAACAGCACCAAACCTATATCTGCTGTTTACTTATTTCAGTCACCTCAACATCATCGCTTTTCAAAGTGCAAGGACGTGTGAGAATCCGTCTCACCAATTTTATTTTTTTTATTTTTTTATTTCACCTTTATTTAACCAGGTAAACCAGTTGAGAACAAGTTCTCATTTACAACTGCGACCTGGCCAAGATAAAGCTAAGCAGTGCGATAAAAACAACAACACAGAGTTACATATGGGGTAAAACAAAACAAAGTCAAAAATACAACAGAAATACATATATATATATACAGTATGTGCAAATGTAGCAAGTTATGGAGGTAAGGCAATAAATAGGCTATAGTGCAAAATAATTACAATTAGTATTAACACTGGAATGATAGATGTGCAAGAGATGATGTGCAAATAGAGATACTGGGGTACAAATGAGCAAAATAAATAAGAATATAGGGATGAGGTAGTTGGGCGGGCTAATTTCAGATGGGCTGTGTACAGGTGCAGTGATCGGTAAGGTGCTCTGACAACTGATGCTTAAAGTTAGTGAGGGAGATAAGTGTCTCCAGCTTCAGAGAACCATCATATATAAAGCCTCTTTCACAGTAAAAAGTAATGTCTGTTTAGGCACTGTCATTTTGAGTAAAGAAGTTAAAAAAACGTTGAAAAGTCAAATGACAGCATACTCTGTTTACGAATTCTGGTTGATGACAACAGCCATGCGAATATGACAACAGGTTTTTTTCTTTCTTTTTTCTTTTTTTTTTCTTTTCTGGGAATGGATCAGCTTAATATTGCAGATAGATTGTATCTTCTATGAATGTAATTGTCTGCATCACTTCTAATCCCCCATGTTTTTTTATTTTTTATATATATACTCCCCTTTATTACTTTTCAACCCCACCATCCTTTCCCTACTTGGAGTAAATTAGTGAACAACAATGCCCAGGCCTAAACTTCCGGTCTATACTTACTATCTACACCTTATGGACAGAGTTAATTTTACAATAATTATATTATATATATATATATATTTTATTTTTTTAATAATTTTTGCTCCTGAACTTCTTCTACTCTCAACCTCTCCGATTCATTTTCATGGTGTCCATCCGGTTTGCTTCTATATGCCATATCTTTCTAACTGTGCTCCTTCCCAAAAGCTCCCAACATACAACCTATATACTTATTATGGACACAGTATGCTTACATTATTAGCTGTCTTTGTTATTATTTGTTGTTATTTGTTATTAGTCCCATCCTTCAACTCTATTCAATACCTCCCATCTATCTCTTAACACCATCCATATAGGATTTCTATTTGCCATATATATTTCGACCGTACTGTGATGTTTTACAACAATTCTGAACCTTTCTATTCTCATTGCTTCTACAGATTGTGAATTAAAAATAAACATTTTTGCTAAAAGTATTATTATATTATTGATTGATTGACTATGACTTTTCAGATCACCCAGTAATGCTATCTGCAAGGTTAGTTCCAGGTAAATATTGCAATCCTTTAGCCATTCCTGGACCTGTGTCCAAAAACAAGCTACAAATGGACAGAACCAAAACAAATGATCTAATGATTCTGTCTCTTCACAGCAAAACCCGCAGAGCTGGGAAGATTGTATCCCCCATATAAATAACATTCTATTGGTAGCAAGAATTTTATATAA